CTTAGTATTTTCAAAACAACAAATCTACCCTTTTCCATTTCCCCATGACCAGAATACTGCAGTGGCTGCTGCCTGCTCTCACCCAAGGTGCTCTTCATGCCAATATGTAAAAGCAGTTTAGCTCCTCGTCAGCAAGCAAGATTTTTCTATATATTGCTCAATCTGCTTAAGAACTCAGGGATGATACTCAATGTTCTTTCCAAAAACTTAAATTGATCATTCTGGCCTTCAAAACACTCCCCCAACTCAAATCTACTGAAATCCGTGCATAATTCTTCCTCCACACGTTTCCCACATTTTATTCTGTGAATGGCGCCTCTACAAATACATCTGACATCATACTACACAGAGCTAGTGCCTGACAGTTGCACATGGGAAAATATGCGTAGCACAGTGAGCTTACAAAATCTCGTGTCAGCTCTTGTCAGTTTTTTCTTTTGTTTTCTTTTTTTTTTCCTTTGAGACAGAGTCTCACTCTGTCACCCAGGCTGGAGTGCAGTGGCATGATCTCGGCTCACTGCAACCTCCGCCTCCCAGGTTCAAGCGATTTTCCTGCCTCAGCCTCCCAAGTAGCTGGGACTACAGGCACGCACCACCATGCCCAGCTAATTTTTGTATTTTTAGTAGAGACAGGGTTTCACCATGTTGGCCAGGATGGTCTCGATCTCCTAACCTCGTGATCTGCCCGCCTCAGCCTCCCAAAGTGCTGAGATACAGGCGTGAACCATCGCGCCCAGCCAAGTTTTTCTTTTCAACAGCACAACAAGAGCCCCTCAATGACAGAATCTTCATGAATGACTTCTTAGAAAAATAAGAAAATGAAGTCTAATAAGCCGCAGAGAGCCACGCTACTGCTGTTCCTAGCCTGTGGCCAGCTACGCTTTTACCGTCATCATTATTCCTGAGTAAATTATACTATGCGGTTTACCTCTCCGTCCACATTCTGTAAACCGTACTGCTCACAGATAGAGACCAGCTTCTTCCGGTTCAGGTGACCATCACGGGTGATCCCCAAATCTTCACACACTTCTTGCAATTTCTCTTCTATCCAGTCTTGGGGAGGTGAAGATCCGCTCTGTGAAGCATTCAAGTCATCTGGGTTCCAAAACCTTAACTGGCCTGAGACAGAGGCATATGTGGCATGATTTCCAAAGGAAATACAAAAAGAGAGCGTACCTATTCTCAAAGAAAACTGTGCTTTTTGAAAATAAATATTATAAGAAAAAGACAATACATGTCAATTCCATTTTGATTTGGTTCTGAAGCTTACATGAAACAGAATCATTGTTCCTAAGGCAGCAAGTACAGCAAATGGGCACTTTTTTGGTCCCTGACAAGTCATACCTGTGTAATAACTTCCTGTGCAATACCGTGAAGTTCTAGGCTTGTTTTATTTCAGCTGAGCACATCACAAGCTTAGGCTGTAGTGATCATAAGAGAAAGCTGGTTGAGGGCCATCATCAAGAACTCTATATGCCCTATCTCAACTATAGCTACCAGAACGTGTTACCTCCACTTTCCTTCCAGTCTAAGAACTACAGCATCTTTTGCTGAGAAGAAAATAATTTCATTATAAAATTCTCAAGACTAGACTATTCCCCAATCTTTACACATGAATATTCTGACATACAGAAACCAACAGTCCAGGTGAAAAAAAAAACAATAAATCAATGGTTGCAATAAGTTCCCAGTTATCTATACATTAAGGTAAATTCCATTTGAAAACTTAAGGATTAAACTACTTATTTAAAAATCGAAAGTGTTTATTTATTCCCTATTAAAAGTCCTCACTTCTAAATTTTGCACTTACACATTAGAGATTCTGTAAAGTCATTACTTAAACATGAGCTAATTACTGGCACAATTTTGTGTGCCTGGAAAAACCTCAGAGGATTGAAAGGCACATTTAGTGCTACTCCCACTCTTTACTAACAGGAATTAAGCCCATTACTGCTGTGTTGCTCCATGCTGGCGACCTAGAGAACAGGTTATAATTATACCTTAAGTACAAGTTAATCCACAAAGGGCTGTGAAGTGGGCTGAGGTTCTGTTAGCTGAACCACAGTGCCATCTGGTGGCCAGAGGATCAACGTGTTCTGATGCTGCTGTTTTTTGCTGCTTTTTTTTCTTTTTGACACGGAGTCTTGCTCTGTCACCCAGGCTGGAGTGCAATGGCACAATCTTGGCTCACTGCAACCTCCACCTCCTAGGTTCAAGCAATTCTCTGCCTCAGCCTCCCGAGTAGCTGGGATTACAGGTGCCTACCACCACACCCGGCTAATTTTTGTATTTTTAGTTAGAGATGAGGTGCCACCATCTTGGCCAGGCTGGTCTTGAACTCCTGACCTTGTGATCCACCCTCCTTGGCCTCCCAAAGTGGTGGAATTACAGGTGTGAGCTACCGGGCCTTGCCCTGATGCTTCTTAAATACATGTGAAACTTGTCACAGGATGCATTTTTAAAATTTATTATTTATTCTTATTTTTTGCGACAGTCTCTGTTATCTAAGTAGGAGTGTAGTGGCACAATCATGGCTCACTGCAGCCTCCAACTCTCAAGCTTAATGAATTCTCCCACCTCAGCCTCCTGATTAGCTGGGACAACAGGCACATGCTACCACACCTGGCTATTTTTAGTAGAGATGGGGTTTCGCCATGTTGCCCAGGGTGGTCTTGAACTCTTGGGCTCACGTGATTCTCTGTCTTGGCCTCTCAAAGTGCTGGGATTACAGGTGTGAGCCACTGTGTTTTGCCAAGGGATGCATTTTAATAAGTCACTATTTAGGACTGTTAGCAAATTAATTTCAAAGTCTATTTAAAAGAGAAATTAGCCCAGAAGTGAAATTATACATCTTAGTTGCCATCTCTTGCATAATATTAAATGCTAAGATTTTTAAACTAAGAGCTATCAATTGGGAATAATTTTTTTGTTGCTGTTGTTCTTAACATTAATTCCCAGCTAGCCTCCAGCATAGGAGATCAGAAAGACGGGGCGTGGAGAGTACCCGGCAGCCCTTCCCTTCCAGGCACCTCCTAACACACTCAGCTCTTACCTTCTGCTTCATACTCCTCACTCCGTTGTGTCTTCCAGTGCTAGAGAAGGCAAGAGAAGATTCGTGTGCTTTAGAACATATTCAGAAAGAACTGTCCTAGCTTTTCCTAGAGGAGATCACTCTCTGGCTCTGAAATCATCATCTAAGTGAGTCACATAATTTCAGGACTCTAGCGTATCTATCTAGATAAGTTCTCTTCAGTTAACCAGTCAATCAGGATGAGACTCCTAAGAAACACCACACAGCCTTCTGTAGCATTTCACCAAGGATCTGTCCTCATTTGCCAGGTCACTTATTCAACAGCAAAACCTATCACAACCAATTAAACCCAGCCAACGCAAGTATCCAGTATCCATCAACCAACAAATATTTGTACACAGGCATTTATGCATTTATTCTTCAATAAATGTGTACTGAGTGCTTCTTTTTGTGCTAGGTACTGTGCTAGGTCTTGGTAGTACAACCATGAACAGGACAAACATATTTCCTGTCTCAAGAAGCTTATATGCTAATGAAGACATGCAGACAAGAAAACAGGAAGTACAACAGGGTAGTAGTATTTTAAGTGCTATGACAAGAAAGTTCAGGATGCCATGTGGCTTCCCAAATGGGATACTTAAGACTTGGTAGATCGAGAAGAAGCAATGTCTAAACTGAGACCTGAAGGATAAACTGCAGAGAGCCAAATGAAAGAAGGGGACAGCTGTTATTTGCTGAAGCAAGGAAGCAAGAATGAGCTTGGTGTAGCTGTGGCATAGTGAGGAGACAGATGCAATTTAAAGTAAGTAGGCTAGAGAAAGTGTGAGTTAAGTAAAATGTACATTACCAGTAAATTACATTAAAGGCAGTTCAATTTACCTGAATTGGACTATTTTTGCCCTTCTCATGCTTCATTATTCCTGCCTCTTCTCCAAAGTCACAGCATACAGTTGCACTTACACATGTGTGTACTGCACAAAAGTGCCCTGCTAAGGGCACAAGTCAGGACCAAAATCCAGCCCTCCCTCCACTGGCCAGGCAGGTACGGGTCGTCTTTTGAGCAGCTGCAACAAGCAGGCCCACCATGGCTATGGCTTCTAGTAAATGGCTTTAGCCTCTCCAGCAAGCTGCCTAAAACTAATCACTGTTATCAGGGACTATAACCATTCAAGAAAACCCTGCTAGAAAAGGTGAATCCTCCTTTTAAAACTGGGCTGCTGTCATGGCAATGATCCAGCTTTATGAATGAAGGTGACTTTGATAATAAATAACCAGCACATTTTCTGGGTAGCTGAACTGTACAAGGCTAGCTGATTTCTTACAATCCAAAAATAAATTCGACAGGAAAGTCAGCCTAATTAATACCTGTCTCTAGAACTTGGATTCCTCATGGCAGATGGTGTGCCAGGTAAAATGTTTAGATGAAATGCTGTTTTTCAGTAGTTGGTTCAAGTTAATATGAGTTGAAGTTCTTCTTTCAGGCAACCTACACTCATCTACTTTATTCTCTACACTCACTAGTGGTAGTTCTCTCCCCTTAAGTGAAGGCCAACCACTGATCACGGTTTCACAGGTCCATATTTTACTTAGAAAGATATTTAAGATAGTACCAATTCAGAGAGTTCATCTAATTTGGCCATACCAAGCTGACAATGCTGAGATGGATTATTGTTAACAAACAGAAGACACCAAAAGGCCATAACTCAAAATGTTTAAGTTCACTATAATTCATTCAGATTACAATGGAAAGTCACTAATAAACGTGGTATCAATGAAAACTGAATTACGACACAGTGTGATTTTTGCTTGTGATAACAATTTCATCAGCTCACTCAGCCTACATTTTACATAAGGATGTCTCTCCAATCTAGTGGATGTATGAGGCATGGTGGGGACAGGGAGTGAGTGGTAAAGTCAACAGTCCTTCATAAATTGTCTTACATTCTCATTTCGGGTCAGAATTAAACTGCACAAATTTTAAATCAACAAAATCATCCTGCCTGTCTGCCCCTCCATATTTATTTCCCTATTCAACAGAGCATACAATTTAAATGCTCATACTACTTTGACATCCAAAATTATGAAAATTCACTATTTAGCATACCAGTTGGAAATACCCCAGAACTAAATCCACTAATTCCAACTATGACAAATAAAACAGAGATTTATGTTCTCAGAGCCATTGGTCAAAACCTACCAAATCACAAGCAGGAGATGATTTCTAATAGCAGAAATGAATGGGAGAAATGGTAGAATATTTTATCACTGGCCCCAAACCATAAAGATAGTTCCAGTTGGAATATATAGCTGTAAAAATGCCACACACACACCTTCAAAAATCCTTCTCATTACTAAACCATTGGTTCATTTACTTCTCATTCATTAGAAAATAGCGAGCACAAAATTCAGAGAAGCAAGATGCTCCAATATACTGTTTCCAATGTCTTATGAGTCCCTGGGACTGGGTGCCTATGTCTGGTTCACTCTCTGGGACAGTACTTTCCTGCTTCCTTCTTCCCTGGATTCTTATATTCCTAACAAATAAGGGATTGAATATAGAGTCCACCACTGCATAGACTCAGGAGCCAGAGTGCCTGGTGCTGAATTCTGGCTCCCTACCACTTTGGCCTTAGGCAAGTATCTTGACGACTTCTGCCTCAGGTTAGAGAACTATCAGTCAGGGGACTATCAAATGGGAACAAAGTAATACATATTTCATGGAGTTATGGTAAAGTGCTTAGAATTGTGCCTGGCAAATAATAAGTTCTATACAATTTTGTTATTTTTATTAGACATATGTTTATATGATTCATGTAGAATTTTCTTTTAATTCCCATGTTTAAACTCAAAGCATTCAATTGGGTAGGCCTGGGTAGGTATCCGTTATTCATACACATTTGTAAGAAAAATGCCAAGTCTCCGCAGCAGAGAAGCAAGGAACACAGACAATTCACATAAGAAGCAACATAATTTTTTTTTTTTTTTTGAGATGGGGTCTCGCTCTGTCACCCAGGCTGGAGTGCAGTGGCGCGGTCTTGGTTCACTGCAACCTCTGCCTCCTGGGTTCAAGAGATCCTCCTGCCTCAGCCTCCCAAGTAGCTGGGATTACAGGCGCACACCATCACACCCAGCTGAGGCAACATAATTTTTTTTTAAAGACATGGGGGAAGTTTCATCTCAACAGCAATCAGAGAAAGATTAAAACCAAGAAGTCATTTTGTTAAAAAAAAAAAAAAAAAGTCATTTTGTTCCTATTAAATCAGCACAGTATTTAAGATATAACTCCCACTACCATCAAGGTTATGATTTAAAATAGGACTGTTTATATGTTATGGGTGGCACTTTAAATGATCATTATTCTTTTAGTAACATAAATGGCTTTATGTATCAAAAGCAATAAAAATGTTCACACTTTTTGATTCAATAATTTCACTTGGTATTCAAAGACAATAAAATCAAGGAGAAACAAAGGCTCTATGTGTAAATATGTACATCATAACACTTTTTGTAACAAGAAAGTACTGAAAACAATTCAAATATTCAACAATAGAGCATAAAGTATAATGATACATTATAAGGTAGTCATTAAAAGTATAATTAAAAAACCATTTAGGAACATGGAAAAACATCTGTTAAATGAAACACCATTACAAAAACGCTGTCTATATCCTATGATTACCATCAGCAGAAATATTTATACAATTAGGCAAAGACCAGAAGGAAAGAGATGATAAAAACAGATGCATCTTGGTTCAAAGACCATGGGAAACAATTTCCTTTTATTTCCTTTACTGTCATAAATGTTGTTGATGCGACAGAAATAGGTACAACTTTCACTATTTATTTGCCCACTAAATTCTCACTAAATTTATTTCCTGTGACTAAGGGATGGGAGAAAGGGAAGTTCCTTCCTTTTGGTAAAGATTGCTCTGCAGCATCTGCAACATCTCCCTCTATTATGACAGATGAGAAGGTTTGGTGGGAAGCCCACGTGCTGCTTAGGCAGGCGGATGTTGGATGCCAAAGCCTCCCAAATTTAGCAGACTGTGGCAAGATCAGAGACACTCAACTGAGACCTGCCATGTGAACCGAGACCATCCCAAAGAGGCATTCCTGGGACAGTCCAAGCCAACAGTGCCAGATACAGCATGGCCTTCCAAAGCCCAGACAGCATCCTCATCTTTAATGATTTCACACAAAATCTTTTTTTTTTTTTTTTTTGGTTTTTTTTTTTTTT